TCTTTCTTTCTTTCTTTCTTTCTTTCTTTCTTTCTTTCTTTCTTTCCTTCTTTCTTTCTCAGTATAGCATTATACCATGACCAGCTCAGTGATATAGCAATATATCATCCAAGTAATTATGACATTCCTATAGCAAAAATGCTATATTTATATACCAGGAGACAGGGAGTGGTAGGAGTTTCCCTACAGTTGGTCTCTCGTAAGGGAGTGACTTGAAGAAATGGAAGGTTTCTATGTGCTACCTGAAGGAAGGGGTATTCGGAATTAACATGACACGTTGAGCCTGCTAGATTTCTTAAAATAGCCTTATTTTTCCAAGATTAGGAAATGTGCCTGCTAACGACCCTTTCATCAGCAGGCTTCTTAATTAAAAGAATATGAAGAGAAGAAAGGAAGTGGGAGGCGCTTTTAGTCAGGTGATCCCCTCACCTCAAAAGGCATCATGTTGCTTACAACATCAATAAACTTTCTCCTTGATAAGAATTATTTAGTCTGCAAGCGACAAATAAAATTTTATTTTGTCCTCACACGTCAAGCTTGTTCCAGACAGACCACCAGCCTGTCGTTAAAAAATAAACACCAAAATAAAACAAAAAACACAACCAAAAAACCTCAGGGTTTATTTGATGTGAGAGAGCAGAATATTAAAAGTCACATGGGGGAAGAAGATTATTCCAGAAAGGGGAAGCCCGTATATTCCCATTACTTGTATTTATTATTTGGAGATTTTAAGACGTGGATGTTTATTAAGGCATCTTTGCAGGTACTAGGTGTTTGACAAAATCTCTCAAAGGATCAATCCTACATAGAGTTATCCCAAAGCAGAGGCCATATGATTAAGAACAGGAAGTAGAAATTTGAACTGTTATTGTATAGAAGTCAGATATCAGAAGCTTAGGTACAGTACAGCTTATCCAGCCAAACCTTCATCAGCCTATTGGTCAATTAGTAAATCATTATTAAATGCCTCCTAGGTTTTCAGAATGACTATTAATGGTAGCTAACAATCAGTGTCTACTCTGTGTTAAGCCATGCACAAGCGTTTTTCATGGATTGTTTAGTTCTAGAGTCATACTGTTACCATTACGGTATAGCTGTGTGCCATTACAGATGAGACACGTGAGGCACAGAGAGCTTTGGTAATGTGCCGAAGGTCACACAGCTGACAAGAAGAGAGCTGGGAGGGGCATCTGGGTGGCTCAGTCAGTTAAGCATCTGACTCTTAATTTCCAGTCGGGTCATGATCTCACAGTTCCCAAGCCCCGAGTTGGGCTCTGTGTAGACAGAGCCTACTTGGGATTCTCTCTCTCCCTCTCTCTCTGTCTCTCTCCTGCTCTCTCTCTCTCAAAATAAATAAACGTTAAAAGAAAAATGAACACACAAACAAGAATAGAGTTGGGATATGAGTCCAAAGACCTTACCCTTTCCTAAGACCTATCACTTTAAGTTTATCATACAACCCAGAAGTTCTGCTTCTGTATGTCTATCCAAAAACACAGCAATCAAAAAATATCCTTGTGCATGAATTTTTATAGCCCTCCTGTACTATTCATATCGCCAAAAAATAGAAACAAAATTAAAAATTTGCTCAACTTGTGGTGGGTAAGCAAAATTCAATATATCCAAACAATGGGATACTGTTCACCAATAAAAAGAGAACGACTAATACATATACCATAAATAAACCTCAAAAGCATTAAGCCAAGTGAAAGAAGTCCCTTGCAAATATCACTCTGGTAAGAATAATTCTTTTTTTTTTTTT